GGGGCTGGCGGGCCGTGGCTGCACAGGCGGTTGGAAGGGGGTGGAGTTGCCTTTGGAGGCGGCACCGGCCCTGGGTCCCGAGGCCCGAGGCGCCCTATCGGGCCCGAGCCCAGTGGCCCCGCGGAGCCGGCGCGCTCCCGCCTGCAGGGGGAGGGCTGACTGGGCGCGGGGACCGGCCAGGCCGCGGCGGTGCTGTTTCTCTTTCACTTTCCTTCCCTGCGGGGCCGGCGCACTAGCTGGTGAGGAACGGCGGTGGCGGTCACGGGGTAGGTACCAGACGGGCCTGGAGCGGAGCTGAGGGACCTGGACACCGGCCACCCTTTTGCTCCCCGCTGAAGTTTGAGCCCTGAGCGGGAGTGGCATTCCCAAGCACCTGCTGCGGCCGGCTCCACCCGGGGGAACTGGCTGGCCAGGGGCTTTCGGACCGCGCCCTCCTTTTGGGGTGGACAGCCAGGGAAAGGCGGCGCGGAGCCCGGGGCCTGCGCACCTGCTGGCCGGGAGGGGCAGACGGGGTGGGATTGTACATGGCGCGGCCGCCGGGTCCCGCCGGAGGACGCGGAAAAGTTCCTCCCGCCGGGTCCCCGTCGCTTCCTTTAACTGTATTGGTAACAGGGTTCTCTGTCCAAGGATCTTAATACCAAGTTGAGACCGCGCATTTCCACTTTCAAAGTACTTTCTGGTACTTGGAAGCTTCGTGGCAAACCTGTAGGAAAGGGAAGGCAGGTAAATCCAATGTACAGAGGAGGAAACCAAGACCTAGCATGGATTTTAAGTGCCTTGCTGAAGGTCTTAGGGGCCTAGAACAAGCACTCAGATCTTTTTCGTTATCAGCTGTATCTCATCCACAACTGGGTTTCCCAGCAGATGGGATGATTACACGCAGAACCTGCCCCGTGCACGTTCTCATTGGCGACACACTGACTGGATCCAATGTAGTCTTTCCCCCTCCCGTTGAATGTTACAGCTAAAATAGGAGACCAGTTCCTGTTTAAAGAATGTGTGTTTCGAGAGGGCTCTTTCATTGTAACAAGCCTTTAAAGCTTTTTTTTTTTTTTCCGTTTCCCCCAGTCATCTTATGTACAAGCCAATTATATAAAATGATTTGTTAATAAAAAAAAGCTAATGACATTTATTTAGTTTTTTACTGTGTGCTAGTTTTATGTGTAGAAGCTTGTGGTGGCACAAATGGTTACGCCTTATGCTACTTGGATGATTGGAACTTACCTGGAGGTCCTTCAGAAAACAGCCTTGGAATCGCTGCCTGATAGAGCAGCTCTCCTCTTTACACATGCAGTTGAAATGACTGGGCGGCAGCAGTTTTATGCGAATATAATCCTCACCACTCTAGGAAGTTGACTCTCATTGCTTTTTTTATGGTTTTAAAAAACTGAGATTTAGGCTAAGTAACATTGTCCAGGAGTCCTTGCATGGTGCTGTGGACTAATGTATCAGATTGCAAAGTCGTCCTTTAAACCACAAGGTGGTGTTTCAAGCTAACCAGGTGCTCCTGGGAAACCCCATACATGGTCGCTATGGGTTGGAATCCATTCGATGGCACTTAACAACGACAACATTGTCCAGGTTTTACATACACTAAATGTGACTGGTTTCTATCAAGAATTTTGTAGTCTAATAGGGTAGATGCGTGAATGTAACTATAAAATCAAAATAGAATGGATTTGCAATAGGAAAGAAGTAAAGGTTGAAGTCTAGGGAGAGATTAAAAGTGAAGATAATGCTGGCACTAGGCCTTGAAGGATAGGTAGGATCCAGACAAAGGTGAGGATGAGCTTGTTGGCTAGAGGGTATAGGGCTTGGGAGAAGAGGGTTCAGTTTGTCTGAAGAAAGATGTTGAAGGGTAAGGTAAGTCAGTCTACCTGTGGACGTTTTTAGGACACAAGTTGAGCAAACGAGACCTTTTTATGTTTATAAGGCGTCCCTGGGTGGTCTCAAGGGTTAAGTGTTCAGCTAGTAACCGAAAGGTTAATAGATGGAATTCACCTTAGCAGAAAGGTCTGATCTACTTCTGAGAGATCAGAGCTGTCTAAAACCCTGTGGAAGGCAGTTGGTAGTTCTGCTCTGACACACTTGGGGTCTCCATGAGTCAGAATCAACCCGACAGCAACAATTTTGGCTTTTTTGTTTTGTTTTCTGTTTATAAAGAGAAGACACTATGATTCTTTGTGTAGAGTATCCAGATGTGATTGACTAAAATAAACCTGGTAGTAGAATAAGGTGGGTGGGAATACACACATAGGTTGGTCTGGGTGCAGTTGAAAAGGACATTAACTTGACCACTTGCTGGTTATGGGCTAGCAGATGGAAACAGGGAACATTTGATGGAGAAGATAGTGACTTTAATTTAGATTTCTTTTGTCAGGAATTCCTGATTGTTGCTGTTGTTAGGTGTCATTGAGTCGGTACTGACTCATAGCGACCTTATGCACAGCAGAACGAAACACTGCCCGATCCTGGGCCAACCTCACTATTGTTGCCACGCTTGAGTCCATCGATGTTGCCACTTGGCTATCCATCACATTGGGGGGTCTTCCTCTCTTTCTGTCCCTCCACCTTACCAAACATATTAGAGACATAAAGATATGAAGAGTCCTGGTGGGTTAATGCACTGGACTACAAAGTTGGTTTGAATCACAAGGTTGGTGGTTCAAGCTCACCAGCCACTCCTTGGAAACCCTATACAGGGTCACTATGGGTCAGAACTGACTCAATAGCGCTTAACAACAACAAAGATATCAAACATGGAGTTAATAGCTGAGTTTCATTTGCATAGAGGTTATAGTTGAGGTTCCAGGATTGGATGAATTTGTCATTCTGAATTAAATTAGAGCAGCTTTATAAATGAATGCTACAGTGAAGGAAATGCTTATTCACCTGTTATGAAACTTTGTAACAATTGCTGTTTCTATAATGATATTAATACAGTGTAAGGAATTTGACACACTTTTCTCTTTTTAAAATTATTACAGAAACAGATATGGGAAAGCAAACCACCAAAAGAAGTGATGATCAGCGATCTCATGGTAAATCTGGATGTTAATTCACATGCCTCAGGACATCCAATCGGAACGACACAGCAATTCCTAAACTCAGACTTCCGTCCACTTAGCAACTGGACTACTAACGTCAGTGTCAGCTAGTCACGAATGGCTACCCAAAGGAAACACTTGGTGAAAGATTTCAATCCTTACATCACCTGCTATATTTGTAAAGGGTATCTGATCAAGCCAACTACGGTGACCGAATGCCTTCATACGTGTGAGTATTCTTTGATGGCATCTACCCATCAAGACCCACTCTTTTTAAATGATTGTATTTTGTTGCTATTTACTTTGAAAACAGTCGGTATTGTAAGCATGATTTTCCTTTGAATTTCCAGAAGATTTATCATTTGGATACCCATGACATATAAAATCTTATTTCAGTCTTAGTAGTTGACTTTCATCTGATTTATACAATGTTCTAGAAACCTTAAAGCATATTACTAGGTAAGACTTTTCTGAAGTGAACTATTTTAGATTTCTGATTTTTAAAACCATACTAAAGAAGGGAATCTGCTCAGAGGTTTTGATAGTATGTGCATTCTTTAACAAAGTGGTTCTGAAAGTATGGTTCTCTCAGTCAGAAGCATTGGCATCCTTTGGGAACTTGTTCATAATGCAAATCATTAGGTCCAAACCCAGACTTACAGAGTGTCTGGATTGTGCCAATGGTTAAGCATTCGGCTATTAGCTTAAAGTTTGAAATCCACTCAGCAGCACTTTGGGAAACAGGCTGGCCATATGCTTCTGAAAGGTCACAGTCTTGAAAACTGTATGGAACAGTTCTACTCTGCGCATATGGGGGCACCATGACTCACAGGCACCTAAAATAACAGCACCCCAGACTTATAGAATCAGGAATTCAGGGGTGAATTTGGTACTCTGTTTTCATAAACCCGCCAGGTGGTTCAGATGTACACTTAAGGTATTAGAGAAAGTGATTCTCAAACTTATCTGTGAAACGCTTAACAAATTTCATCTTTATGTCACTTCTCAGAAGAGCAAAAGGCATTTTTATAGTCATTTATGTCAGGAATGGAGTCCTGGTGTGGCACTATAGGAAAAGCAGTGGACTGTTAACCGAAAGGTCGGCAATTCAAACCCACCTGCCACTCCATGAGAGAAAGAGGCGGCTTTCTCCTCCCATAAAGATTTTTTTTTTTTTTAAGGTTGTTGTGAGTCGAGTGAAAGTTTACAGGGCAGATCATCAGTTTTGCATTCAACAGATCATATGCTTTGTTTGATTACGTTGAATATAATCCCCTCAATGTACTGTCAGTTAATAGTATTTCTCTCTATTTATTTTAGTGTTTTTTTTTTAAACACTCACACATATGTAATCATTTACCTCCCATAAAGATTTACAACTTCGAAAATGCTATATACAGGATTGCTGTGAGTTGGAGTTTACTTGGTGGAATTATATATTCTTTGTTTTACAAATACTATTTTTTCTTATTTCAATGAAAGTAATTCCATTAAGTTATAGTTTAATATACCAAAATAGATGCTTTATAAACGTATTGTCGTTTTAGCCTTGTAATGATCTTGGAGTCATTGGAGTGGACGTGAGGAGGGAGAGGGGGATGCATATTATCTCCATTTGTGGGGGTAGAAACTAAGAGGTTAAGTAACTTCTCTAGCCTCATGGGTGATGTGGGGTAACTCAGCTCCAAGTTCAATGCTTTTCTCATACAACATGGTGCCTTTTTTTTTTTTTTTTTTTTTTTATGTAAACCTTCCCTTTCGATTTCCTCTCTCTGTTGAACCGAGACACTATTATACCAATAGTTTGAAATAGGGGTGCAAAATAGAATCGCCTGAAAAGTTGTTTAAACAAACATGGTCAGGACCCACCTGGGGAGATTCGGTGAGTCTCATGGTAAGATCTAACCACACGTATTTTGAAAACACTCCATAATTGAAGCTATTGCATGAGTATATGAGGTATTGCTCTGAGGTACTGTAAGTCCCCAGATTAAGAATGACTAATTAATGGTTAAGAATGACTAATTTATAGACAACGCTTACTTAACAGATTGCCATAAAGCTTAGCATGTTAAAAATTCGACGTATATAGTCTTTTTATCAGTATCCCTAGGGAATTAGTTCCAGGACCACCCAAAGAAAATTTGCAGAGGCACCAGTCCCTTATATAAAATGGTGTAGTATTTGCATGTCATTTAGATACATCCTCCTATGTACTTTAAGTTCTCTTTCGATTACTTATATTACTTATTATATTACTTATAATACCTAATAAAATGTAATTGCTATGCAAATAGCACCTTAGCCTTTGAGGGATTGCTTTGATCACTTAATTGCTCCCTCTTCCCCAATATTTTCAATTTGCAGTTGGTTGATCTGTGGGAATCCACAGTTATGGAGGGCTGATTTATACAGTAGTTTGTAACAATGAATGCAAGCACATTTTGTGACACTCATGAAAACATTGTGTGACTTCAGTGGTTTGTAGGATCAAAGAGGGAGAATGCTGTTTGTCATTTTTATGTTGGATCATGTTCCTGTTAACACTGTGAATGTGTAACTGTATTTGGCTTTCATTTTTCTCTTATTAATCCTTGTAACTGTGCCTCCAAACCATAATTCTGATGAAAGTGCTGGTGATACATTGAAGAAAAGGAAAACAATTACAAATGAAAATAAAGTAGAAGTACCATCCATAAATTCAATGTTCTTAACCCAGGAGCTTACGCTACTATATTGTATTTAAGATGTTCTCGTATATTTAGAGGAGTCCTGGTGTGGCGCTGTGAGTTAATGCGCCAGACTCAAAGTCATTTGAACTGCCAGGTCGGTAGTTCAAGCTCACCAGCTGCTCCTCAGAAACCCTATACAGGGTCGCTATAGGTTAGCAACAAGTATATTTAAAAGAGTTTCTTAAGTGTTTTATTTGCATCGTGGTGCCAGTTAGGTGCCACTGAGGTGACCTCGTATAGGGTTTCCAAGGAGCAGAAAGCCTCATCTTTCTCCCACAAAGCAGCTGGTAGATTCAAACTGCTGGCTTGCGGATAGCAGCCCAGCTTGTAATCCATCACAAATAGTTACGAGGGCTCCTTGTTTTACACATAGAAAGGTGAAATCTACACTGTATTATTAAGGGAAGCATTGACTATGGTTGTCAAATGCTGTCACGTCAGTTTCGACACGGTGACCCAGGGTAGGGTTTCCAGGGACTGGCTGATAAGTTTGAACTGCCAGCGTTGTGGTTAGGAGTCCCGAGCTTAGCCTACAGTGCCACACCAGGACTCCAACATTTGACTGGCAACTAAATAAGAACCATGTCTACTGTTCCATGTTATGACTTAACTACAAATTTAACTTAAAAGACAGATTTAGAAATGGATCTCATTTGTAGGGACAGGAAATATTAGTGACCCAAATTATTCACTTAGCAATTAATTATGAACTGCCTTGTCCTATTGCTTTTCTGTTGCCCTGTATCCTTATCTAATGTGAAAAGTTAGTTAGATAAAGTTGTATAAATGTGTATTGTGTATCTACTGTGTGCCAGGCACCATTCTAGTCACAGACACTACTACAGCAGTGAACAAAATAAGCAAAATTCTGGTTTTTTTTCTTTTTTTTAATTTGCATTCTAGTAGGGAGACACTAGTAATAAGTAACTAAAAGTCATGTTAGAGAGTGATAAGTACTATAAAGAATAACAAAGAAGGTATGAGGAGGAGCATTCTAAACAGAGGAAACAAGTACACAAAAGTCAGAACATGCATCTCAGGTTCAAGCTGCAGCCGCCAGTTGGAAGGCTTTCATTGCAGGCAAGTTGATGTGAGATGGAGGTGGTAGAGAGGGGTTGGATTGTGGGTGTACTTTGAAGGAAGAGCTAACAAGATGTGACTACTGTAGAATGGAGACCTTCATATTGCCCACTGCATCAAGCGTGGTACCTGGACATGGTCCACAGACTGTGTGGTTTTACTTCTTCTAACATGTGTGCTTCATTTTTTATGATTTGGCTCTTTTCAGCAAGGAGTCCTGGTGTGGCACTGTTGGATAAGCACAGGACCACAAGGTTTGCACCTAAAGGTCAGTTTGAACCGCAAGGTCAGCAGTGCAAACTCACCAGACCCTCCTTGGAAACCCTATACAAGGGTCACTATGAGTCAAAACCAACTAACTCGACAGCAAAACCTGCCAATTCTCTTTGGAAGATGAAAAGAAAGCACAAATTCTATATATAAATTCCTACAGGTTACACATTTGATACATGTAGAATTTTTCTTTGGGGAATAATAAAATCCTATTTAAACATTTTTGGAGAGGACAATAAATGAAAAAGCCAAGAAGCATAGACAAGTTTTACAAGCAAGGGTTGTTTTTATGTGTGTGGTAATTTAAAAGTATCAAGGGGCATCTTTAACTGGATAAATCAGTCTGGCTTGAAAAATCCCTTGGCAGCCATGGGGTCTTTGCTGAGAGAATGAATGTGGCAGAAGTGTGATTAAAAGACACACTTTTAAGTCACAAATGTGGCCTTGAACATCTACAGCAAACACAGAACAGTAAAGTAATGATGGAGTTAAGTACTCAGCCGAGCATCTCAGGAGACCTGAGGTTCTCTGCCATTCAGAATCCACTGAATGGCACGTTGTTTCAACCCATGCACTCTCAGGTCCCTGAATTTCTGTATCTGTTTTTTGTTGTTGTTGTTCGTTTGAATTTATGTTGTTTTGTTGTTGTAGTGGTTAAGTGCTTTCGAGTTGGTTCCGACCCATAGCTACCCTTTATTGGGTTTCCGAGGAACAGCTGGTGAGCTTGAACCTCCATCCTTGTGGTTTAAACCAACCTTGTAGTCCAGCGCATTAATGCACAGAGCGACAGCAGTACTCCATGTTGATATTTGACAAGACTTACTCTACTTGCAAGTGAACCCCCTTATTTGCACTGGTAAAACAAATAGTATCAGAAGAGTGTGTTCCCCCACATTGTTCAGGTCTTTGATGTGTGATGCTACCCAAGGTTTTCTCTTCTACAAGGTGTTCTCATGTATAGAGAGGTGCTGTGATTTGGAATGAGAATAAATTTAAATGAAATGACCAAGTGAGGAAGGAGGAAAATGAGAAACATTGCTAAGTAGCATTGTGGCATCCAGAAATATTTTTTTTACGTTGAGCTAACCTAACTTATAAAGGAGTCCTGGTGTGGAGCTGTAGGATAAGCCCTGGACTGCTGACC